CCTGCCTCCCCAGGGGGGCCGGGCGGGGTGACCACCCCCAGCCGCTCTCCCACTGGCCCTGAACCAGCGCCATGCTCCTGCCGGGGGCAACACACGGACCCAGCGCTCCTGGGGGCGGTGGGGCCCCGGCTGCCCAGGGTCCTGCCAGCACTCAGCAGCTGCGCAGTGCGAAAGCAGCAGCAGCTGTGCCAGGCGGGGGCGGGCAGCAGGCAATACGGTGCCCATCTGCAGCCCTTTCCTAACGAGCTGCACATGGAGCCCCCTGGAGCACTGGGGATGCCACCCAGGGCCCTGAGACAGACCAGGCCAGTGGGCACGCCCCTGGGATGCCAGCTAGGCCAGGAGGGGGACCGCTGCAGCCAGCCTGGAGAAGGAGAGAGCAGGGAGGAGGCCAAGCAGGAAGCAAGGGGAATAGGGGTGCCCATCTGCAGCCCTTTCCTAACGAGCTGCACATGGAGCCCCCTGGAGCACTGGGGATGCCACCCAGGGCCCTGAGACAGACCAGGCCAGTGGGCACGCCCCTGGGATGCCAGCTAGGCCAGGAGGGGGACCGCTGCAGCCAGCCTGGAGAAGGAGAGAGCAGGGAGGAGGCCAAGCAGGAAGCAAGGGGAATAGGGCCGTACCCAGTGAATCTACCGGTGCAGCAGCCCCTGGAGAGCCCCCCCCCCCCCAACACTTCCCATGCCATGAGAGGCCCCCTCCCTGCCCTGCACTGGAGGACAGGACAACCGCAGCTCCTCCTGCACCTACCCGCTGGGCGTGTAGCCAGAATGGGCCGTGGTTCTCTCATTAAGTTCTGCCCCGGGAACTGCTTTCCGAAGATTTGCAGGTGCTGGGATTTCAGTGCCACGGGGGGGACAGGGACGTTCTGGGATTTCAGTGCCATGGGGGGGACAGGGACGTTCTGGGATTTCAGTGCCATAGGGGGGACAGGGACGGGCTGGGATTTCAGTGCCATGGGGGGGGACAGGGACGTTCTGGGATTTCAGTGCCATGGGGGGGACAGGGACGTTCTGGGATTTCAGTGCCATAGGGGGGACAGGGACGTGCTGGGATTTCAGTGCCATGGGGGGGACAGGGACGTTCTGGGATTTCAGTGCCATAGGGGGCT